CGCTCTGAAAGCGTTCCGGACCGCTCTGGAGCGGATTTGTCCTCGTCCTGGCCCCGTCCGACCCCTTCCACTTTTCAACGCAGAAGGCGCATCTCCACTCACCACCATGCCCAGCCATGACCAATTCGGCCCTGGCATATAATAGGCATCGACCCTCCTGGCCATGGAGGGCCCACGCGCCATCCTTGGGCTCAGGATGGCCCTGGCCAGGCATAGCGGTGATGCCCAACTGCCTTCTGCGGGCAGGCCCTCCTTATTCAGGACGAGGTTGACCGCGAGCAGCATAAAATTCGCCGACCGGCTCCGCAGCGCCTCGAACAGCTGGACGACGCCGTCGAGGTCCCACAGCTGCCGGTTGATGTTGGCGATCACGAAGAGCTTGGGCTCCTGCGGGCGGACGGGGGGAAGCGGTCCCATGTCTTGTTTGTATGTGAGAACTTGCTGAACAACTGTGCATGTGACTTTGGTTGTTCGGGGGCATCCTTAGGCGGCTTTTATGCGACTGCGACTCCAAGATGGCCCCAGAGGCCTCAAGATGGCTTAGGGTATGCCTCCCAAAAACCCCACTTCCGATGGGCCCCTGAGGCCTCAAGATGGCTCCAGAATCGAACAAGAAACTCACAAGACGGCTCGACAAGGGTGACAAGACGGCCGCAAATACCTTCAAGAGAGCCCCCAGAGCGTCCCCAGAAGGCTGCAAAAGACTACTTTTCGGGCTTCGACCGGGGACCCTGCCTCAGGATTCAAGGCCCTCCCTACTCTGATCGATGTCCTCCAAGATGGCCCGAAGAAAGGCCACTCCAGAAGGCCTCAAGAGAACCCCAGGTGTCTCCCAAATGGGTCCAATAGCTGCCAATGAGCTTCCAAGAGGCTCCCACATCGAAAAATATGCGAAAACATGTACGGTTGACTGCTAGGTCTGATCCCGAGCTTCGGTTTGACGGCTTCCCCCCCACTTTGTTTCACTGCTTGCTCCTACACTTCCCTGATCAAGGCATCTCGCCGAGGCATCTCTTTTGGATGGGCTGGCGGGATACTTCTTTGGTCAACAGGCTCGCGAGGCGGGTCGAAAGCCGTCCGAACACTGGTCGGGCCGCGACTACGCAGCAGGAAAAGAAAGGCAAGCGAAGCGAGCGAGCGGGCAGCCACTCAGAAGGAGAGCCAGAACCGATACTCCCAAACCCGGTGGCGTTGGGAATCCCGGTGGCGACCAGCAAGTATGCGCAGCCAGAATAGCGCGGCGGCGCGACCATAAACACGCAGAGGTCGACTAACAAACAGCACCGTCAGAAACTAAACAGCACCGTCAGAAACGAAACGGACCGACAGGCACACCCGGACGACATCCGTGCCACAGGCGACACACATGCCAAAACATCGTGCCGGCGCAAGAGTGAACAGGGGCAACCTCATCACCGACAAGACTGCAAACGGCAGTGAAACCTGTAACACTCGTCGAAAGCGAAGTCCATGCAGGAGAACGTCGGCCAACGAGCGTACAGAGCCACACTTGCCGAACCCGAGGTCCAAGTACCGTCAGGTAGGCAGTGTAGCGAGGGACCCACTGGAACCAAGAAGCGCTGGTGGGATACTTTTTGGTCGCGGGCGGACACGGAAACGCAGTCGCCGAAGGAGAGGTCCGGGCCACGGGCCTGCCAAATTGGCTACGCGCGAGCCTAGAGCGAAGCGGAAGCTGGTGGGATACGCGAAGCGTCAAGAAAACGACGAGCTCCCTGCAGGCCCTGTGCCCTGTAGAACCTCTGGAAGGTAATTGCTGGAAGTGTTTGTTTGCTAGCGTAGCTAGCTATTCTCGAGGCGTTGTGTATATGTGTGTATGCATGTGTGCATGTGTGTGTGGCTCGCGTGCTCCCACCAGCCCTTTCTCATTTGAGATTTGGAGGCCTTTCGCGTCCAAAATGCCCCCCAAACGGCCCAAGCAGGCCTCAAGATGGCTCCGATGTGGCCCCAGATGCCCCACTAGTGAATCCAAGATGGCACAACGTAACCCCAGATAGCTCTCAAAATGCTTCCAAGAGGCCCCAAGACCGCCACAAGGCGGCTCCAGGTGGCCACGGAATCTCCCAAGGAGTCCCCCGAGAGGCCAAAATTCTTCCCAAACCTTACGGGAATCGTTGACGTGTGCATCACGGACGTGTGCCTTATCGCCGTTTCGCTTACGATGAGCCTCTGAGGCCTCCAGATGGCCCCAGCATGGCCCAAGAGAGCCCCAAGCGAAGCCGAAGAGGGCCCCAAGGCGGCCACAAGGGCGGCCGAGAGGCCCCCCAAGACGGCCCCAAGATGACTCTAAGACGACCCTGGAGACCTCCACGACGGCCCCTGTCAGCATCCTCTCATCAGCATCCTCATCCGCCTCCTCCTCCTCCTCCTCCTCCTCCTCCTCCTCCTCATCATCATCATCATCATCCTCACCATCATCAGCATCATCATCATCATCACCATCATCAGCATCATCACCATCATCCTCACCATCATCAGCAGC